GCATTCATGCAGTTCACATGTTAGTCAGAAAGTGCATAAAGTATCTATGAAAGCTTGTCATGGACATGGTCTTCAGCTGGTATACTTATAAAAAGGAAAAAGTTTTCAGCTAGTATGAGTGAAAAGTTCTCAGTCTCTCCTTTTGACCTTTTCTTCCATGTTCAGTATTCTTGTCTAAGTCATCAGTCTTTCTCATTGCTCAAAGAAAATGAATTCTAGTGTTGTTAGTTTAGTATAGCTTTTCCATTCTCTATCATGCGTCAACATTCCACAGTATATTTTCTAGAATGTATCTTGTACATCTATGAAATCCAAACTACCACATATGGTTGGAGAGGGTCTGCATATAAATAGCAAGAGTTGGTTGATTTTTGTGTTTGTTCTAGTTCAAAATCATTGGCCTATCCACAATGAGTTCAATCCAAAGGCACTTAGGTGTTGTTTGGTTGAAAAATAAGTTATATTGGGATTGTTATACAGGGATTAATAATCCAAGGACTAGTAATGCAGATATTGTTTTTTGTCGGGAGTTTGGTTCATTGAGTTAAAAATTGATTATACAGTGTATAGCTTGAACTTGTGTTTGGTTTAAAACTGTATAGGGTTTTGAAAAGACTTTGAGGAGATCCACAATGGTAGTTTTGACATTTTAATATTTTATCCATGTATAACTTAATCATGGTATTGTCAGTTGTACCACATTGGCCATGGTATAAAACAATACACCAATTGGTGTATTGAATTATACCATGACTAGTTTACATGATTCAAAAAACAAGCCAAACATTGGATAGAACAATACCAAATCTATACCATGATTATTTCATTCAATCCATCAAATCAAACAAGCTCTCAATATTTTGATTTGAACAAGATAATTCCCTCTAATGAGTTTTTCTTTTCTCTTTTTTGGAAGCTCCCTCAAATGGACCTAGATTGCAAAGTTGAAACAGATGATGCAATTATGCATAGATCCAATAATTATAACCTTGATATTAATCATAGGGTTGTTCAGCTTCTAGAGTCTTTGGGTTATACATCAACCAAAGCTAGCATTGTTGTTGGACAAACAAAAATTGTCTCATAAATTGTCCGTTAGTATAAAGGGTATATATGCTCTAGTTTTTGAACGGCAAACATGGGCACCAATGTACCAAAAGTATGACAGAGGGTATTTGCATACCATTTACGATAGTTTGGGGGTATATTTGTCCCTTTTTTATTATGTAAATATAAATAAATTATGTACATTCAGATGTTGAAAAACAAGCAGTCTTAATCATTCAGTGTTCAGATCTAGAGACAACATCTTAAGCATTTAGATGTGCATTCAGATTCAGACGTCTAAATTTTAATGAAAACAAATGAGGCCTTAGACCATTTCGCAAAGTTTAAGGACAATTTTGGACTTTTTACTTGGAATAATTTGTTTAGTATGAAGGGAGTTGTAAATCTTGCAAAAACACATTCGCAAAATAGGTGAAAATGGGTCCAGAAGTAGAGATAGTATTTATTTGGAAAATTTTGAAATTACTCTAGTTCAAATGTGGGTCGCACAGATAGAATATTGAAAAGTAATATACTCTGTCAAAATAAGTTGACAACTTTGGAACAACCTAAAATAGAAATAGATAGATTATTGGGTATGAAGGAAGTAGTAATAAGTAAATCATCAGAGGTAACACCTTCCCACAATAGGGTTCAGGTGAAGGCCAACAAATAACCAGTACACGAACAAAACCAAGGGCAAGCTGCAGAAACTAAAAGGACTGAATGTGTCAATAGCATAGCAAAGACCTCTAGGCATATAGCTGCTGAGAAAGAATAAACTGCCTTCCTAAAGGCTCATTAGCTTTAAATAATTATACTTAGATGAACAATGAAAACTAGAATCTGAACGTTTTAGGGTAGAATAATGACAATCTGGTAAGATGGGCAGGGACATGAGAAATGCCACTTCGGGTATCAAAGTTGGGAGGCAAAGAAATGAGAAAAAAGAAACTTGGTATTTTGTCTGTACCTCTCTTGCTTGCTAGCTCAACCTGTGGATTTTCCTGATTATTGATTTTATAGACTTTATTCTGACTATTCAAATTGAACGTCATGCTTTCTTATTGATTATTGTGCTATTCTTACACCTTAAAGTTAACCAGCTTCCAGTTCCAAAGATTTAAGAGCTCAAAGGATTTACTATTTAAAGTCCATAATGATGATAATGACTTCTCAGACCTGGGTCCTCCAGTAGAAAGAGCTTTTGGGCAGCTGAAATTAGTGACGGAGAAGCGCGATCCTTTTCCGGTATGTTTTTCTGATTTTATTAATAGCGTAGGACTTCCAATGGTTGGGTACATGTAGTAATTTGCTTGAAGATGTTACCATTACCTTTTGAGTCACAGAAACTTGATAATGGTAGAAAAGTATCATCTCGCAAGTCTCGCAGCGAAAGCATGCAATGCGTAAAGGGAAAAGTCTTAACTCTTGATAAACCTCATCAAAGTGGGTGTGGTAACGGTGATGATGCTTCTGGATCGACTTATACTACTTCAGATGCTGCTTGTATGGATGTCCGGAGGTCAATCGCAGTTGGGAACGTACCTTCTACCATCAGCCTTTCTCAGCTTGTAGAAGCAGTTTCAGTCTTCGGAAAGTTCTGTGCTGCTTCAGTCAGGCATCTTCCTGATGGGCTTAACTGTTGGGACATCCAATTCAAGGTATGCTATTGATTTCTTGAAGTTCTGCCTTCAGCCCCCTCAATCAGGAAAAGTTTGTTTATTAACTGTTGTTAACTATTGGCAAGAGCTTAGAATCACGCAACAGAGCAGTTAGAGCTGGTGCGCTAAATCTTGGGAGTTATCGTCTTCCAATTCAACCCCCGCGGGCTTCCATGGTTGTTACTATCAGGATTGAGGACATTTCCGACGATGCTTCCCTCAGTGAGATGCACTCAATCTGTAAATCTGTTGGCACAACAGAAGGGTTGGCATGGGTAAGCAAGGATAGCGTAGAAGCCTTGTTCACAGTTGAGAATGACAAAGAATCGGAGTCGATCCTCAAAAAGTAAGTGGTGGTTCATCCTGGAACAAAAGGTCCTTATTGTTACTGTTTTCACTCTTGTAGGCTAGGGGGCAGGTTCTTGTCCATTATTTTGCTATCTCAAAAGTATAAAACTGTTCTCGCGGTTTCATTTTGGAAGAAGTTGGAGGGGGGAAATCAATCCAAAAACGACTTTGCTTTATTACAGTATCACCATTAATCATATTCCTTATTGTTCCATGTAATTTTTCACTTACCATTTGCATCCATACTCCATTTTATTTGCATTTACCTTATTGTTTGCATATGATAAACTATGAGAGACTGATATTGATAGAGAGAAAAAAATATGAGAAGACTGATATTGACATCTGGTCAGTTCATTTTCTGCCTTCCTCTTTTCCTTAGCAGAACATACTGTTCTTCCATTATTGGTGGACACTGGTTGAAAACATATGATATTTCATCTATTATTTGGTCACAGATTTTAATTATGCCACCTGAAATCAAATTGTTGCACATCTTGTTCCCAATTTAACCTTGCCTTTACTAGAAGGAATGAGAATATGCTTGGTGTAACTTTGTTATGTATTTTTATCTTCTTAGGTTGAATGGTGCTATTGTTGGTGGTCATTGCCTATCAGCTTCTTTAGTACCTAGCAAGTCATCATCTGCTTCCATGTCTGAAAATAAGGATGATAGATGCAAGATGGCTTTACAAATTAACAGCTACTTGACAGAACTCAAAATGCAACTTGAGGAAAAGGAAATGGATTGGCCTGAATTGTCGGTGCTGAAATTGTATATGGAGGATCTTCAGATGCTGCATGAGGAGATAATGCACCTTGAAGATCTGCCTTCCATCATCGACACATCTGACAATTGATTCTTGATTTTCAAAACATCTCTATTCAAGTATTTTCACTTGCTAACAACAGGATAACTCTCTTCAATCCTCTTTTCGTTCCCCCTTCCTTCAAACCCTTCATGTGCCTCCTCCTTGGCATTGCTTTTAGCAATTAGCTGCTGAAACGAACCTCTTTGCAGCCTGTCCCTCTTGTGAAGGATTGACTGCCCTAAGTTTAGTACCATTATATATGCATAGTGGTGCTGATAAAGTAAAAATATTCAAGTTTTTTTTTTTTTTGCAAATTATACCCTATATGAAATGTTAGTTAAATTTTCCCTTATCCATGGCCTGACTTTAATTTTTACAATTTCGTTTTCATATTTGTTGAACTGACTACTGATTTTCATATTTGTATTCTTATGAGAGAAGGCAAACAAGATGTCTGTGCCTTCCTACCAACCCCAAGTCAAGAGTCATTGTTGTTCTCTGTACAATTTTACCGCCTTATTTCTGTTAACTTAAAAAGGCATAATTGGAGAAACCCTTTCAAAGAAGATATTGGTTGATGATCTGTTTGTGGTGGTTGTTAATTGATACAATATCGAAATGCAGAAATTGGCCCTAAATTCTAAGAAGAAGAATAAAGATAGATTGACACAAACAAAGGAAGTAATAGACAATAATATGACTATATCACAGTTCAGTGGAAATTACGTGTGAGAACCAAAGAAAGAAAACTCTGTGATTGTATCTGCAAGTCGAGTGTCCATTCAACCTTTTCCTGAGCTTAAGATTGAACTGGAAACAAAGTCTCTCTACTTGATGATCAACGACAAACAATAAATCAACCTCTCGGATGCCTTATCATCCTAATTCATATCACACTATGAATGGATATTTATTTGGCCAATTGCTTATATATTTCCTATACTTGTGCTTTTGTAAACATGTTTTTATAATCCAAAATAAGATTTTCGACAGTGGAGTAGCCCAGGGTGGTTATTATTAAGTGAAACAAGACAAGAAAGGAATGGCAGAATGTGGTAATTGTGTTAACAGAGGGTCTTAGAACAGGACTGTTTTTTGAACTGTTACCTTTGAGCATAAAGGACTCAAGCGATCCTCTGAAAGTTCTAGTCATGCACAGTGCAGTAACTGAAGTCCTTATTAAGGACAACGACACATACTGTGTTTAATCTACAGATTCATCTTCTTTTGGTCCCATATTCAAAATTCTACAGGGATCTTCCCCATTTTCGGGTGCTGATACACTCATTGAGGAGCATTCTTCAATCTTATATTCTCTCTCATCAACTAAAGACTTCATGTAGGAACAAGGCCGGTCCTCGGTCTCCATATGATTAGGTTCCTGCCCTGGAGTAAAATGCAATTCAAATGATGTTGGTCCAGGAGGTTGAGTCCTCATTTGCACAGACCGCAAAAGTGCAGCTCTCCTTAAGTCAGCAGAGTGGCATATGTCACTGGGTGATGATGGAAATCGACCCTCAGAATCAGAGCCTCGTTGACGAGGCTGGGAGGATGTGGCTGGAGGGAAGTTGCAGGAATGTGACGGATATGATGTGGAGGGAGGGCATGATGAGAACCCATTCATTGGTCTGTGATATCGGTAGGGTGAGACTGGACTAGTTGGTGCGCTCTCACGTTGGGGTGAGCTGGTATTCGTCAAAGCCTCATAACACCGTGAATCATCTGAATCTTCTGACATTGGTGAATATTGAAAGGACATCTCGTCCCTGAAAACAAACATAAAAAATTAAATAAAACTTGATAACAAAGAAGCAAGGAGATAGGAAAACCGGATCTTCATCTGTTACTACATTTCATATGAGCTTACAGGTACATTGTCAAGTCACAAATAGTAAGGAAATTCAAATCTAAAAAGAATTCATGGATTCTATCTCTAAATCTAAAAATTTCAGAGAGCTAGAGCAAAATTAAATGTTTATATACTTCACAAAAGCAAATCCAAAGCATGCATGATGATAGATTCTATGCAGTAGTTTGTGTGGTTCTTTCTCATCATGTGTGGTTCTGAAAGGGATTAAGAAATTCTCTTCAGACACTAAATTGGACCAAAATGACCAAGACTTCACCGATCATAACTTGGAAACATATTTTTGCACGATTATTGCTGTTTCATTTAACAGTAGAATACAGTCCTCGATATTTGCATGGTGCATCAGTTTTCTTAAACGAAAATATGCAAGTCACTGCCTTCTAAGATTTTGGAACTACAAATCCATACAGCGGTGACCCCTCTATTACGCTTAAAAGTCAAATGACTATACAGTCTGTACTTCCCTGCCAATCATTTTTTTCTCTAAACTCCAAGTGCCATAGACACTGAGTCACTGCTTGTTTCATCTGTTAACTTTTGATATGTTCCCAATGTCTCTGTATATAAAGCTCTGAACACTTTCCATTTTAACTAAATTGCACTGACAGACACTACAAGGTTTCACAGAATCATAGTAGTGAATCTAACTATGATCATCACAGAACCAGCGCAGATTAGTCACTCTCTAAAGAAAGACAGGAGACAGCTGCCAGATGACATATACGAATTTTAGTTCTCTGTAATTCTCACTCTAAAAAGAGCTTTCACCTTTTGAACTCCCATTTCTAGAGGTTTTGATGGTGTTTTGATATTATATATACTGATTCATCTGTCAAAGATGCAGACATGAAACCCGACCAGGCAGAATCCCGCACCACAGTATATTCACTTGCAACTATACCCATAGAAACTGCCGTCCCACACTAATGTGTTTCAACAGTTAACAGATCTTAAAGGTTCTTTTAACACTCTCCTACTTAGGACCAACTCCCACAGCATAATATTATGGCAGTGAAATTCAAGAGGTCAAAGATGTGTGTGTATGACATGTGAATGAGCATCTTTCTACAAGGGGAATATGTGTAAAAAGGTTTTGAGGACGTAGCAAAAAATTGAGGTGGCTACTCTGCATCCAACCTTGTTTGTTTAATGCTTCCCACTTACAGGGTAACATACTAGAAAAAGGAACCATTAAATTCTAAGATATAATAATAATAACAATAATAAGGTGCATAGCCGTTAGAGCTTACTTCGAGTGGCATAGGTTGAGGGACTTGTGACTAAGGTCACGGGTTCGAGCCCTACACCAACCCTGGTTTCAAAGGTTGTGTTTGGTCCTAAGGGTTGGCCCAGATGGATTTTTCAGTCATAAAAAGAATATTAATAATAAGGCGGGTAAGTTTCAATTGTATATTGGAAATGGACTGGACAGCTACATTGACCATGTAAGTCATGGAGGTTATTGGATATTATTTTATTTTGAATGTAAATGTATTTTCATTCATGGCCAAACTCTGGCCATTACTTGCTAATCAGACATATTATTGGATAATAAAGTCCCCATATCCTTGCTAATCAGACATATTATAATTTACTTGTTGCAGCATACAATGCTTCTCTGTCAATTTCTTATTTTGGAGGAGGGTCTAGACCAAAAGATGCCAGTAGCATGTTCGATTTTACCTTCTAGTAACTTTTAAATTTAACATATGATAGATTAAAAGTCCAAAGGAAACCTAACCTAAACCAGCATAAGCATACACTGCAGGGAAGCAATTGATATACATGGGGAAGAAGAAAAGAAAATTCTCTGTCTACTTTAATTCTTGCTTGTCTCTCCATTTAACACCAGTCCTCTCTAAAGGAGAAGTTCTAACACAATTTATTGCTGTTCTGAGAGAAAGACATTCATGACTGGGTTTTCTAAGAAGTATCTTAATTGTGTTATAACTCAACTGAGCAATAATTGGCATTATTCTGTTATTTCAGAAATTCAACAAAACTTTCAAAATTAAAACATATCTCTGGGTTTCACACAGTACTGAGAGATTGAGCTAGCACAGGCTTCTTTGTGAGATTGATAACTAAGCGATCACTGAATGCTGGTAAATTATTTCTTTCTTTAGAGTGGACAAAATTAGTTTAAGAGATGATCTATACATGAGTAATTACTCAGCCATGAATGATACCAAGCAGCTACTATGAGTGGTTAATATAGAAGGTTGGGGTTTAAGTGTTCAATTAACCTCAAAAGTACTACTTTCTCAAATGAAACTACTTAAACCTATGGAACTTCTGTCAACATAGGTTGTAAAAGACTACATAGTACATACAAGTAGCATGTCCCAAACACCAACATTTAGGTAGAGGTATCAATGGATCTCTCTCTGAACAATTAAGTGTTCTCTCAAGACTCACTTTTTAGGAAGAAAATTTTGAGCTTGGTCTTTAATGGACTCACAGAGCTTCTTGAGTCAAGGTTAATACAGTAATGAGCTCACTGCCAAAGGATGTAAGGACTGAAGGAGAGAGGTTTCAACTAGAATCCCCATCGTTCACCAAACCTCCTTAGATTTAAGTTAGAGTAAGACAAACCTAAAGTAATCATACAGAGAGAGAGAGAAAGTGTAAAGAACCAAGAAGTAAAGGCCATTAACCAGGAAAGCAATCCCTCATCTGCAATGGAAAATTCTTCCTTATCTCTCTCTTTACTATTTATTTTGTTTGTATAAGAGAAAAATAATTAAAAGCACAAAAGTCCATTAATGTAGAAACAGTAGAATATTCACAAGGAACTAAATAATCTAAGCAGTAAATTCTATAAACTAATGCGAGGTACCTATCGGGGGACTTCTTCACCTTAAACACAATCACATGCCAATGGACTATCATGAACATGTAACTCAATAAAGGATTTACACGTCCAGCATATACTTAAGGTCAGAGCGTCATTTCAGACTTCCAACAATAACTTAAGCAGGACCAAAAGTAATCTATCCATGCAATGAGAAACCGAACTTGCTCCCATCCTTAACTATGTGTTAATATCTGTATAATTTTCTGTTTTCCAATGTAGTACAAAATTCATCACCTGATGTAGAGCATGCTTTCGGATCTTGATGGAGAATCCACTATATTATCTGGTAGGGTGTCTCCCACTGTCAATCCATTTAAACTTGATGCCATTATCTGCAAAATTCCTCAAGTTACTTCAGAAAGCCAAAGAAACTAGCACATGAAGGCTGAAATCACAGGCAAAGAACACACATTTCCGTTGATAGCAACAACAACAAGTGCAATTTCAATAATTATATTTAACATAAGAATCTACAACAAACATTTATACACTTTATTGACCTTGTTAAGAAAGCACCATTTTTTTAAAAGTCTATCAGACACATCTCAATCCTAAACTAGTAGTAATTAACTATATTTATCCCACCTGCTCTGCTCAAATCCATTTCATTCCAAAAGGGCAATTCAATAATACAAGAAATTTAAACCCTCGAAAGCTCTAAAAACTTGAAATTGTATAATAACAAAATCGGCTCTAATTCCACACACACATTTCAACAACATAAAAAGAGTAGATTTAGAGAAGGGGCAAAACCTCACTAAGATAACGTTTGTGAGAGTGAAGATTATCGACATAAACCTCGTCTTCTGGGTCTCTATTTCTCTTACCAGTACCAGTTGGGGACGATGTGGCTGATGATGACGATGCTGCTGCCGCTGCTGCGATCGCCGGAGCAGACGACGGCGATGAACCCGTCTCCGAGCCCATAATACAAAAGAGAAAAAATCAAATCCTTTTTCCCCTGTTTCTCGAGTTCAATGTCAGAGTGAAAAAGTAGAAAATCTATTAAGCATTACTAAAAAGTTTATGAAATTAATTTATTCTCCAAAAACCAAAAATTAATGGCTTTAATTATCCAAAAAGGTAAGTTATATGAAATTAATTTATTTTTTCCCCATAGGTTGACTGCCAGGTCAGTGTTCACTTGTTAGAGCCGGGTCTTGGTATAAAAATTAATAACACAAAGATTAGTAACGTAGAGATTAGAAATGCAGAATTAGTAATACAAAGTTTATTTTTTATCAAGTGTTTGGTTAATTGCTTCCACTTCATCTTGTGTTTGGATTAAAACTCTATAATTGAATAATTATGAGATTTTCTATTTCATATAATCGGGTCAAGAATCAAGATAGATAATAGACTGACAATAGTATTTTTTATGACCTTCTAACTAGTTAGGAGAAGAACAATTTTGTTGTCATATTGTTATTTCCTCACTTGAATTATTTGAGGTTAAAATAACTGTTATCTTAATAAATTGATTACTCACAAAACGTTAATTTTTCAATTTAAAAAGATAGATCATCAACTTTTAAAAACGAAAAAGATGGTAAACAATAGTAAAATCGGATAAATCATCTACATTTAGGGCTCGTTTGGCCATGCAATAGGAAATCATGATATGAAATCATAATATGAAATCATGAGATGAAGTTGAAGTTTTGTTTAGACATGCAATTTGGATTTTTTATGTTGTATGTTTTCTCATAACATAAAACCCTTAAGTTGTAAAACTATTAAAATTATCTCGATTCTTTATACAATCATATTAAATAAACAAAAAATTACAAAATCGCATAATACACTATCACAAAGCTATTATTAAAATATACAACATTTATTGATAAAATTTTAATTCAATAAAAAATAAAACTGAACATAAGTTGTAGTGTACTTGTCTTTAATATGATACTCCCACATAATACAAACAACCTTCTCTCGTTGAACTTGTATTTCTCGATCATTTGACCGAGAAGATGAACAACATAGTTACGTTTTGCCATATGTTGGTCAATTTGGTTGGTAAATAAATTTGATAAAAATAAAATAAAATAAAACATGTGAATATAAATGGTAAAGTATGAATTAATTTGAAGTAATAATAAATTTTATATTAGTGACAATAATCATTATATGAAATATAAATAATTTCAAAAGTAATGATATAAATTATAAATTTTATTTTACGTATGAAATAAATGGTTAATAGATATAAATGTGGGGTTGTTTTTATAAAAATATATACTTGTGAGTTGATTGTTGTATTTGAAAAATCTCAAATCATGATTTGAATTTTCAAATCATGATTTTTGGAGAATTTGGAATTTCATATCATGATATGAAATCATGAGATGAAATCAGCGTGAGATCACATATTCAAACGTTTATTTCATATCGCATGTCCAAACTCCCACTTACACATAAAAATTGTAAGTTGTAGTTTTATTATGTATGCAATTTTATAAATTGTTTAAAATATAAATAACTAAAAAACCATATATATATATATATATATATATATATCAACAAATAATACATTTTATTAAGATTTAAGATCACAAACGTCATGGTGATATATTACCTTTGAATTAGTAAACCAGTCACCTCTTCAGAAAATTTAACTTTTGTCTATATGACAAATATTTAAGATATTTTAATAGTGAACTAGTGCCAGCAAAATAAGCTCATATTTTAGTAATCCGCTCATATTTTAATGGGTTGGGTGAGTGACTTTTTACATGGATAAAATATGGATTGATATCCATATTCAACCTATAAAAAGATGGGTAAAATACGGGTAAAATATGGATTTAGCCAAATGGGTTAACCTTCTAACTTTTATTCACTCAAAATTCGTGATATCACTAAAAATATTGTAACTTATCTTACTTTTTATGTTCTTAAGAACTAATTATTTTTCTCTATAATTGAAAAGGTGAAGTCTTTGGCCCTCCAAAAATATATATTTTAAATGTACATTTCTTTTGTTAAGTATAATTATATTTTTTTTATTTGTTTCATTTTATATTGGATAATAAATAATAGTGTAAACTAAGCAAATCATGTGTTAGTATTGACATTGCTTAAAGTGCATTAAGCATGTTTTAGTTCTAAAATGCAAATATTTATTTACTTTGAAATTAAAAATATTTTCCCCTTGTTATTACATAAATTTATTTTATATTGAAAAGTAAGGATTTTTTTTGACTTATATGATATAATAAAACTAAATGAAGCATTTTCAACATTTTTCATCTAAAAAAAGACTAAAATATTTGCTCCATGTTTAGTTCTTAAGTAGAGTACTATTTACTCATGAAAATATGGGTAAATATGGATAAACTAGTATTTTACCCAACCCATTTGTTACCCAATTCATATTTACCCATATCAAATATGGACGGGTTGAATTATTACTCATTTTATGTTTACCCATTTTCAACCCGCCCAAATTTGACCCAACCCACCCATTTGTCACCACTATAGCGAACTTACTCAACTTTATCAGAGTTTTGCCTTATAGGCAAAAGTTTGAAGTTAGGTATGTTTCCCATTAGGCATGACTTCTATTTTTGTCCTTAAAGCATATGTTCAAGACATTTTAAGACAGTAAACCGAGAGTAATCAGAAGTTGTGCCTTATTGTCAAATATTAAAACCTAGATATGTTGCTTATCATAAATAAGTTCTAACTTTTACCCATAAGATAAACGTTCAAGACATTTTAAGACGACGAACCTACTCAATTGACCGAAAATTCTGCCTTATAGGAAAAAGTTAGAACTTACGTATGTTGTCCTTCAAACATAAATTTTAACTTTTGCATATAAGGTAGACATTCAGGATATTCAAGATTATGAAATTGTTCAACTGACCACAAATTATGACTTATATACAAACATTAGAACTTATGTCTTATTAGCAACATAAATTATTTCCAACGAGTTTTTTTTAACATATTTTTTACAAAAAATATTAAACGGGAACAAAAATCTAAAATCAAACACTTTGAATGACACTAGGCGTAATTTACACGTCAGAGTTAAAGTGTGACCCATCAATTTATATGCTCAGGCAGTGGGTTTTGCAACATAATTACATACTACAAGTTTTTGCAAGGTCATTAAAGTTGAAGTGATATTTAATTTATATTGATTCATTAGAAATTTAATTTGAATATTTTTTCATTTGATATGCTATATATGATCATAATAAAGAAAAAAAACATTTTTCATTATGTACATAAGCAAATTATTTTTAAAAAAAACAAGAGGTAGTGGTATGTTAAGAAAATAAAAATAAAAACAAACAAAAAAAACCTAAATATAGTAAGAAACAAACGAATTAAGTTATAATCCATTAATTAGCTTATTTTATTTCTATCAATTTCAACCCTCGTGAGCAAACTTGAAAACGAATTATATGGAGACTTGTACATCCTTAACATGTAATTTGTCATGGGGTTTACAAGTTGTACAATGACTTTAAAAGATATTAGATCATAAAGTATTCAAACACAACAATTTCGAGATGTGTAATGAATGTATGAATCACTTTAAAATTATCATCTGATGAAGGTGCTAGTATTTTGGAGTGACTCTCTTAGTGAAGAAGAGAAATGTGAGACTATCGATATCTAGGGGTTAGAGAGGAGGCAATGACATCAATTGGAGATGTTTGGTTCATTTTTTCAAACTTCGATTCTTTTTTTTTTTTTTCGTTAATAGATATCGAATTCAATTCGGTTTTATTTTTTTCTAATTTGGTTTATTGGTATGATTAATGGACTATTTTTCTTCTTGTAAAATGGGCTACTATTTTAATTAAAAATGAGTTATTTTAACTTTGATTCGAGATGGGGTGAAAAACGTATATCTTTCTACAAGCGGAAAGGATAAAAAATATGAAATAGGAATAATTGGGAGTGAAGGAAGAAAAACACACCTAAAGTATCTCAGTTTCTTGAGTTTCATACTTGTTCTATTAGGTGTGCGAGTTTTCTTCTTGAACTATCACCATTAACTTATCAAAACACACCTCAACTATTAATTATTTGAGTTTTATACATAAATTAGCTTTTAGTCATTCCCTCTGCCGTCGTCCAAAGCATCTCCTACTTCTAGCAACTAAGCAAGCAATACATACTACAGGGGCGGCTCAAGCATATTAGTGGCCTAAAGCAAAAATCAAACTGGGCCTTAAACTTAAATTGTTAATAACTTTTATATAATTGATTTGTTCTAGTTTTCAATTGATAATATAACCATTCTTATTTTAAATTATTTATCATGAGATATAGTACTCCAAATATGTTAAATTTCTTCTAATAATTCCTTCATTTTTCATGAAAATTTACTTTTTCTACAAATAGTATTCAATATTTGTTAAAAATAATAATAACTTATAACCTATTATTATTAAAAATGAGGCCCCTTAAATTTTGGGGCCTAAGGCACATGTCTTTTTTTTAACACTATCGAGCCGCCCCTGACATACTATTGGAAAGAATGGTATGGGCTTGGACTTGGGTTGTAAGTGGATGTGAATTTTTTGGGGTAACTTTACTTTTTGAACTTATGTTATAAAATTTTGATTAAATCAAAACATTGATATCCTAAAATCAAGAACCAATTTAATGTACTAAATTCATGAGAATATACAGATTCTTCTATTTCTTTAACCCATATTTCGAAAACTTTCAACCTCAATTCTATAATCGTGCAATGTACAAATCAAATTTATAAACCATACAAATGATTTGGAATGATAAGGACCGTGGCAACATGTTTTAAGCCTTTTTCGTTCAATATCTTTCTCTTCTAGCAACTATTTTATAAATATTTTTTTACGAACACTTGTGACTAACATAAAAGAAAGTTGACTAACATAAAAGTGAAAGTTACTAATATTTTTATAGGGTCCTTATGGAAAACCTCAATGTTGCTATACCACCTATTAACAATGAGGTCCATCAAAATTTTCATGTTTATGAAAT